TGGTTAGAGATTAATTCTTCCACTGTTAGGGTCTCAGCCTTTTAGCGTAGTGGAATGCACTACTTTCTAGGAAGTGGTGCAGTATGGCTATGAAGCCACAGTACCCGTGATCAAGCTCTTGTGGACTTTGGCTCAATTTTGGACAGCTACAGTATGGTACAGGAAAATTCTGTCCAGTGCTGACAATTTTTATACTGAAGAATACCACGAGATTGTATGCATTACCTTCACTTTGTGTTTCTGATCGTTTTAATTTCAGAATTATTATTCAGTGAAAATAATAATTATAATATATAATAATAATAATAATAATGTATTATTATATAATAATAGAATAAGTCCATTTGTAACAGTGATGAGAATCTTGTAAAAAGCAAAAGGCATTGATGTGTGTCATCAACAACCTTGCTGATTGCTGAGAGCAGGGGAGTAGGTCTTCACATCTGCTATGAGAAAGAGCCAGGCATTAGCAGATACTTAATTAAATACACTGCAGTCAATTTAGTTATTTGCAGTTACTGCACTGACATAAAAAGCCCATTATAGTGACACTGAAAAAAACTCGAGGATTACTTAATAAAAAGAGTTAACGTGTAGTCAATATAAACATTTGTTAGTGAAGAAAAGGCAGTATGGTCCATCATTTATTCATTTCCTCTTTAACCCTTAAAGAAGCCAAGGTATTGTCCAGGCATTGTCTTGTTTTTGAGCACTCGTTGTTGAGATACTGTAGGCCTTCGCTCTAATGAATTCTAAAAGTTCCGTGGGATGCACTGTCAGATTTAATGTACTGTAGATAAACCTTTATATCTGGAATGCCAAAGAGTGGACAAAAATATCAGTTTTGGTCCTGGTCATGCAGTGAATGAGACAAAATGCAGACACTTTAATTATGGATGAAGGTATTTTATGACGCTGCCTTATTGATTTGACAAATTAATGCTTTTAATTTATTTTTGGTGTGTTGTAGCACCAGAAAAAAAATGGATTTTAAAATTACCATTCATATCATATGGCAGAAGCTTTGCACTTACCTACAAGTATATTGACTAAAGTCTGACCAGGGCTTTGTTGTGTGCTCTAGGGAGAATTGAACTGTGCATCATATTGGGGATTTCTGGAGTATGTCAGGATTCTGTTACAGAAGCAATTAGGTTGAACAGGATCTAGTGAATTAATGCCTTTGTTCATCCTTCTAAAAGCATATAATACATTAATTCAGCTATTCCTCTCTGTGTGTTGTGACTTCCTTTGATATTGTCTGATCAGGAGCTGATCAATAACATTCTTCAGTGATTATTCTGACACTTTTGTCAGATAAGTGTAGGTTCTCGTAAGAGCTGCTCTGGATTTGTAATAATAATGGTGAAATGTGAAGAAGGTGTAATTCAGCCAAGGAATGTGACATATAATCTTTCATAATAAATTGAAACCTTTTATTCATTTCCTGCTTTGTAAACTTTAATGTACTTAAGATTCTGTTAGTTACACTGTGAAAAATGCAAATACAAAACATAATAACATACATAAGTAAAGTACAATATACATTTAGTTTTGGGTAATTCTATGCACACATTTGACCCTATGAGAAAAACAAACAAACTTTGTAAACATCCCTGTGATTTCAAGTGATCATAAGTATTGGGAGACATTCACTTGTAGGACATTTCAAAGTGTATAAGTCTGTATTTGGTTATATGCATTTTAAGGAAATTAAGAGTGGGCCATTTTGCTTATCTTGTTCATTTGATTGGTAGTAGCTAATTGATCCTGGAGGAAGATCTCATCCAGACAATTCTTGAAATTAGCCAGGTTGTCAGCTTTGATTCAGAGTTTGTTCCATATTCCCACACCCTTTTGTGCAACACAGTGCCTCCAAATCAATGCTCTTCCTCATAGTTTCGATTTGAGTCCACTGGTTTGTGTTTTACTGTTGATTCTGATGATACACAATGGGTTAACCTATCCAGTTCACAGGTTTCCTTGGTCTGGCTTTTAAATATTGAATCAGATCCCCTCCTAGTCTTCTCTGTTTAAGACTAAAATATTTCAGTTCTTGTGGCTTGTCAGTGTAGGACATTCCTTAAAACATGGGAATGCAGCCCTTCTCTGGACTGGTTACAATTTCTGTAACATGATGACTGTAATTAAACATGGTATTCTAAATGAAGTATCAGTAGTGTGTTTATTTTAACAGTTCATCTATGTTCCAAACTATATATTCTAACATTATGTCTTTCTTCAGTCTTTCAAGGTTTCAGACTCAGTTCTCTGTTCCTCTTTCCACAAAATAAAAACAATAACAATCCTAAAATAATAATTAAAGTAATAATAGAAAACATCCACTTCCTAGATGTCTTTGGTCCTTGGTTGTACATTATGCTTTTTACATTGTACCAATATGTTGTATCAAATGCCAAAGAGGAACAGAATATACCTGTTGAGAAGTTTAGTTTATCCATTCATCCATTTTCTACCCACTTTATCCAATACAGGGTCAAAGGGTGGCCAGAGCCTAAGAAGTTTACTTTATTTGTAGTGAAAAAAGAAAAAAAAACTAATATTTTCTTGTATGAGAGTGAGAGACTCATTTGATATCATCACTGAGGTTCTGCTCCATATGTGATTATTTCATTTGGGCTTGGTGTTAGTCATTTTACCAAGGAAATGTGGGGCTGAATTTGATTTCCTGAATCATACAGTAATAATAGCAGCTGGTATTTGTCAGCTTCATTTCTTACAGTTGCAGCATGAGCCTCCTGAGATTCGGGTTAATTTAAACCTGATTTCCTATTATATCACACAGCATTGTGATATTCACTTGACACCACCACACGCATTGCTCTTTAATCAGCTTTTGGTCTTCCATCCTCCTAGGAAAAACTGCTATTGTCATGATTTGTTTTGTACATAAAGACAACATGCCACCAGAATCAACTCACAGACTCTAGGGCATTTCTCTCACTCCTTTCAAAGCACAGGAGGACAGAGGTGCCCAATGCAGTTATACTTTACAAGTAAACAATGGACACTCATGAGGAGCAGTGGATAGGAAGTCTGCCCATGTAGCTAGAAGGTTGTGGGTGCGAGTCCCTGGGTAAGACCCAGCTACTGCGGCTTTGCCTTTTAACAAGGTATTTCACCTAGCTTGACCAACTGTAAAAATGGGGACGAAAGTAAGTCCTTCTAAATACAACCCAGCCAAATAAAAATATAAAGGAGCTTTATAACTGCGTGATGTGAAAGTCTTTGCTGCTGTTTACATATTGCATCTATTTTAATGTAATGTTCTTTGGCAGCCTCGGCTATATATCTCAAGGGCTTTGGAATACTGCTTCCTCAGTCCCCCCGGTACAGTGAAAGGCCAAGAGATCAGCTCAGTCCCAGGCTGGAGCTCATGCTGAAAAGCAGACAGCCCCCCCCCCAGAGAGGCTGAGACCCCTGCACAGAGCAAACACGCAAGCAAGCAGCTTTGAATGGGCAGAAGTACTGTACGTGGCCTGCCAATGCATACAATTTGGGCATGCATTTTGTAGTTCATGTACAGTACTGTATCTTTCCTTGAATGTTGTTTGAACAAATCTGCAGCTAAAATATTGAAAAGAAGCCTTAGGTTTAATTACTTGTATAGTATATGAACACACTGTTTATGCTTGTTATTGTAAACTAATTAATCAATTCATGTCTTTCTGGTAAAGAGAAAAATGGGAGTAACAGCCGGTTTAACAATGGGGGAATCCCTTTTTTCCCCAAGACCATATGTGAAAATGTGCATCATTCATTCCAAACTTCCAGAGTAGCAATGCACCAATTAACAAACATTGCATGAAACCACAAGTCAATTCCACCACTAAAATCCAGGCTCTTGCTATCTTGCAGCTTGCAGACCTGGGTTCTACAAGTCCTCATTGGATAACCTGAAGTGTTCCAAGTGTCCTCCGCACAGCTACAGCCACCAGGAGGGGGCGGTCTACTGCAGTTGTGAGAAGAACTACTACCGGTCTGACAAGGACCCTGCCTCCATGGCCTGCACAAGTACGTTCACTGAAATACCGCGCCCACCTGGAAGCACCCATCTCAGATCGTGCACAGATGTACAGTACACTTAGGAATAAAATAGCATGTTTTCCATTCTCTACAAACTGGGAAGCGCTGCTTGGAACTCATTGTTTTGAAGCCTGTCCATTAACCATACGTCCTGAGACTGCAGAACAAACAAGTCAAAAAACATTTTTCCCTCATGAATTTACAATTCTAGGAAAGCAGGTTAAAACATTTGATATTGATTAAATAAAACAAGTTAAGTCCATACTACTGTACATGTTTCTGTACCACCTTCTCCAATGCACTTTCACTGAAAACCAGCACAGGCAGGAAGTGTGTGTACTAGACACACACTACATCAGAACTAAAGGACATACAGTCTTTATTAATGCATTCTATGCATAAAGAACAAGGACACGTTTTTTTCCCTAAGTCTCATGCTTGTACCTTTAGCTGTGATGGTGAGAAGCAATGAAATAAGCACAAATACAAGCAACAATGTACCTTCAAGTTGACTCCATATGTTGAAACCTAAGATGGTATACTATAATACAGTAAAATATAGTGGAAAGGCATTCAGCTTTTCTTTAATTGCAGATCTCCAAAGTTCACTTTCAGATGTGCAAATGTATCTAAACTCTCATATCAAAGTGCTGCTTTGATTATTTTTTGGCTTTCTTAAACAGATTATACTATTTCCCCCAAGGGTTTATAATAACAGTGCTTCTGAATTTGTATAAGTCACACAAATCTCCTGCCTTGCAAAAAGTTTGCAGTTTTTTTCTACTCATTCAGTATTCTTGATTCTTATGCCATTGATAGACTTTGTTTGAGGCCATAGTCTCTCTGTGAGAGGAGAAACACAGATGGCATACAGATGCAAAGAAAAACTGCCAAACATTTCAAAATACTATATACATAAATCTTGGTGCTGATATCAACGTTGATTCATATTATTTCAATCTGCTGAAAACCTATGTTGCATTCACGGACCTGATTAATAGATGAGGGCTGTGGTTGTATCTTTTGCAAGGCTGAGTGAAATAAAAGCTGATGGTTTGGTGCAGTCACATGTTTAAAGTGTTAAAGCGTTTTATTTGCTCATTCAAAAATGAATCATACAGCAGCAGTGAAGAGTGCTAAATCAAAAAGTGATTTCCTTGCCATCCATGTAAGATGTAAATCCAAAGGTGCACAATACAGTACACCTTTCTATCTTTTTTCTCATGAGAAAGTAGGTTGCATTATGTTTTATTTATTGTGTTCAGTTCTCCTGATTGTGAACATTGACTATATCATACTCATTCTAATACAGCAGATCATAAGGTGGAATCTCTTGTGATTTTTCTTAATCATTTCTCATATGTTGGAAACAGAGGTGATATACTGTACTGTAGAACATCCTAAGAGAAATTCCTTCTCATCAGCATGGGTTTCAGTGAAGATTTAAGACCTTAAATCAGTACATACAGTATGTAATTATGAATGAGAAAAAAAGTTCTCTGGATACAGACAAACCCATATAATGCAATCACAGAAAGAGTCCTTATTGATTTTATAGTTCTTACCCTTTTGATTTGAGAGATGTCCACTTAACCAGATGGATGGCCGAGGAGAAAGACAGGAACTTAAAGTCTGGTTAAATTAAAGATTTTGGACACGTGTTTGTGGGATGAAAATCAGAAAATATTCATTTAGAAGCCTGTATTAATATCTTAGAGCTGGAGATTGGCAGAAACTGGGGCTCTTCCATTATGAGCTGTTTTACAAACCTTTCATATTTAATTGTCAAAGAATTCCAACAGTTTTGTCAGTACGGTACAATCACTATAAAGACAATACCAAATGTTAAGTGTGATATCAGATTATTGTAGACGCATACAGGCAAATTGGCTATTGGATGGACTTTTTTGTATTACTTTTTGTTCTATTCTTTCTTTGAATAGGAAAGCTTCCTTTTCCAAGCACACTGTTACATTTGCTATTTTGTCAGGTCCTGTCTAAGTTTGCCTGGATTTAATGCAATGCCTCTAATTAAGGAGGGCCTCCATTGCCCTCTTATGAATACAGATTGCAAAGTGTGACCTTTCTAAGCACACTCCACTTGCTTGCTTGCTTTAGGCCATGAATCAAGATGTACCAAGTCTGCTAACGTTTACAAACGTACTGTGACTTCTATTATTACTTAGTTTAAAAAAATGACCACAAATGTCAAGTCTCTGAGGCATTGTATACCTCCCCACCTCTCTCCTAAAATACCAAACAGGTCAGCATTTGACCTCTTTTTACCAACAGACCTATTATCTACTATCTAACATCTTCTATCTAATTCAGAATTTGTTATCCTTTAACTTTCTTCAACTTCTATCTTTGAACACTGTCTTTGTTTTCAGTGCTACTAGACTATACTTGCACTTTTTTAAGACTATCTTTAAATGTTCCATATATGTGTTAATGGCCACTAATGAGGAAAAGAAAATGGCACCTAATAATCGCAAATGAAGCTTTACATTTAAATGGCTAAGACCAATTAACACATAAGCATCCATGTTAAAGTTAGCTGAGTCTAAAGAACTTAAATTTGATTACAAGTGCTCATATTAATACATATTCTGCAAGACCAATAATATAGACTGTGTCATGGATATAAAGGCATATAAAAATTTTATCTGTGAAAATTTATAAATTGGAAAAAGTATTACAATGCGCAGTGAGTGAATGCATGGTACAGCATAGAGACATGAGCCACTTGTGTAAAGGTATGAAAATAAATGCAGGAATACGGAATGTTCTATAAACACTGTGATAAGAAGATGCCACATTGACTTGAACTGACCACTGAACACATCTTTCAATGAATCCGGCACTCCATCTCAAGTAGAAAGAAGCTCTTCATATTAATTGAGTCTGTCCAGTAATGAATAAGAAACTGAAACACGGAGACCTGGTGCAAAGTACATGTAGGAAATCAGATCAGTTTAGAAAATGTAATAATTGAGCCCTTGTCTACAATATGTGTTTTGTCCCCAAAACATTCTTTGTTTCAGTCCAAAATAAACATCTGACAAGGTTAGTTTACTCCTACAAAATATTGAATATCTGTTTAAAAAAACCATTTTGAAATACATCTCTGAGCTAAAATTTTAGACGTTGTATTGTTTCACTTCTTTCATTCCACTTAAAAGTAGAATAGCAAATATTCTGATCAATGTGAAAAAGATTGGTAAATGAAAAACTGGTGTCTTCTCACTGAGCTAAGTGTAAAACACCACTGGAGGATTTAGGTAAATCAGTGATGCTCATAACATACAGTACATACAGTATATTGTAATTCCTGATGGTGTATAAAATATCCAAGGTTGAGATTTACAATAATATTAATAATAATTAATCAATAATAACAACAATTATAAAACAGGAAGTCACACGATCATAGCGATTAAGTCCGGTAATTATTGTCTAATCTCAAGTACAGTAGTAATATTTTTACTCCCAATTAGCTCTGCATTGTACAGTAGTAGCATTTTAATTAGTATGGATTCTAATTAAACTTGAATTAGAATTGAAGCCTCTGAGCTCATTTTTCAGAATTTCTGTATTCACATTTCTTTAAACACCTACATTTGGCATTTGATGTAAGTAGCACTTTAGAGCATGACTGCAGAAGAGGTCTTTTCAGAGTGCAAAGCCTCAGAGTTGCATTCCTTTGTAGAGCTGTGTTCAACAGGATTCAGTCAAGCTTTGAAGTCATATTCTGCAGCGAATATTTATCAGGGTGAAATGTGTTTGGCAAAATTGCTGTCTCTACTTCTTTCTGTGTTTCATCCGGTGTCATATGGTAGCAGTTTCGCTGACCTGTTTTGGTCAGAGAAAAAAAGTTTCAATTGAAATGAATGAATAGTGTTGTTGTTATTATTACCCACAGCATAAAATTAAAAATTAAAATTAAAATTTCAAAAGTAAAAAGGCATGTACTTACAAGCCACCAAATACATAAGATGACCTGAAAAGCCTCTTTTTACTTGCAACCTCGTATGTTCTTGTGTGGGTATGCTTGAGATGTCTCAGTAATGAATTCATAGAGAACTACCCTTGTCAAACAAATAATTAAACAAAATGATTTGTGGGTTACCATCCCCTCCCCAACATTGTACTGCAGAAATAGAAAAGACTCCCTGCTTAGCCTGAAGTTTAAGCGTAACAGATATAGCAGATCTACCAATTAGCGAAGATTGTCTTGCTGACAGAAAGGACTTTGTCTCAGTCCTGTGGTGAATTGAGGACAGTGTGTTCACCTGGACACTGATGTGACGCTTTTCACTCCCTGAGTGATTCCTTCCAGAGCTATCATGGGCAGGGATAGAAGTCAGACAAACCAACAAGTCAAGGATCCCACTTAAACATTCAGGACATGATCCAAGCTGAACAGTGCAGCCCAGAGTTTGATTTACTGTTCTGTTGTCTTAGAAAAACACGGAGCACTGTGGGTGCATAATAGAGTAATGAAATATTGGATACTAAAACATTTTCTTGGTTAAGCAGTGGATTACATGGTTTATAAAGCTAATTCCCACTGAAGTGTTTGTCAGCCTGCCTTTGTCTCTCATCGACAGCAATGTGGTGCTTAGCCCTGGCTGAGGATAAGAGAGAGTGGACGCCTTTTCTGAGACCAGCCTTAATGGGACTCTTGGGAGGTGTAAATGATTAATTTCAGATCTGACAAAAAGAAAATTTTCTTTCAGATTATGCAGTCTCCTAACTTTTAGTTCAGAGAGCAGTGCAACTAATTGGTAGTAGTAGGTGTAATTTTACCCCAAGCATGATGATGCGAAAATGTGCAAATAATCAACAAAATGTTTAGAAACAAAACATTTCAGGGTTATGTCAAACATTATTTGGTAGCGACTGAAGAGACTTGATTCCCTACATTTGTGCTAGTATACAAGGAGGTGACTAATGCTATCCAACCCCAGATTTAGACCACAAACTGACATTCTAATCAAGAGGGCCTAATTGTATGACTGCAGTACATCTGTTAAGTGCTGTAACCACATCACTTATGGAAACACTAAGACGAATAGCTCAGAGCACAGAAATATCATATGGCGCCATTTTTGTTCATTCCTAATGTGATAGAAAGGTGCTTTCATCTCTTCTAAAAAGAAATGACAGCCAGAGTCTGTGAAATCAAGTAACTGTGTTACACAGGTGTACAGTTACTTATTGTAGCTACAGTTTGTAAACTCTGTTCACTACTGATATACAGTACTTTATGCATGCAGTTTTGAGGTTCTTCTTCAGTCCTTTTCTCCCCCCTCAGTCCCAACACCCAGTTTAAATTTGGGATTGTACCTCCACATTTTCTTTCACGTGCGAATCCTCCCAGAGCGGTGAATACTCCTGATGGGTTATTCACTGTAACAGAGGTAACCGAGTCTTGACATTTTAAAATCCAGTATCAGAATACTCATTAGAAGTGTGGGGTATTTGCTACATTATTACATACTGTATCATTGCTCACTGCCTGGAAGTAAGCCAATCCTTACATAATCCTTAATCATGGATCCCCGTCTTTAGAAATGGGGGTGTTGAAGTTGATTTCCTAACACATGATGATCAGAGATTCATTGAAAATGATCAGGAGTGTGAATGTACTGTATATACTGTATACACACATACTGTACGAGTGCATAAGCAAAATATCAAAGTAGCGGTGGTCCAACTCCAAAGCCAGACATGGATTCTGAAACAACTTTTAATTTTTCAACCTGGTGCCACCTTGTCTTCTCCGATTGGATTGCATGTTTCTGGGGTTCAGTGTCCGTGCCTGACAATTCCTTGTCATTTTCCCCCAGGACCTCCCACTGCACCCAGGAATGTCATCTCTGTCATCAACGAGACCTCAGTCATCCTCGACTGGAGCTGGCCGGCCGACACGGGAGGCCGGAAGGACGTGTCCTTCAGCGTGGTGTGCAAGAAGTGTGGGTCGAGCGCCAGGCAGTGCGAGCCCTGCCGTGGGGCAGTAAGATTCCTGCCCCGTCAGACGGGGCTGAAGAACACAACAGTGACTGTCGTGGACCTGCTGGCTCACACTAACTACAGCTTCGAGATCGAGGCCCTGAACGGCGTCTCTTCCCTGGCCACTGCCCACCGCCAGTTTGCCACTGTCACCATCACAACCAACCAAGCCGGTGAGGGCAGCTTCTCTTCCTGTTTTTTTCCATCCCAGAATACATTGTGGCACAAACTGAAAATGAACTCATACTCTGAAAGTAGTTTTATATATGGCAATACATAAATTGATACTTTGAACTGACTATAAAGGAGAAATTGAGGTACAGTAGTAGTCCCTTAGTATGTACGACAAAAAGACCCAATAATTTACACCACAATAAGTGGGTGGTTACCCTTGAACAGTATTACAATGTGGTTACAGTATTACAGCATTACAAGATGTACAGTATCAAATATTCATCTTGCTATTCTATAAACAATACTCTGAGCTATCATAATGCTGCAGAGAGAAAACTTCAACGTGAATTATTGCCCTTAATAAATGATTTCAGGTGAAGTCTTACTGTTCCATCACTGAGATATATATTTACTTGACAAAGTGTTTTTATTGTCCTTTTTTTCTTTCAAAAATATTGATCCTGCCTTGTTGATCAGAGCCCAAGTCTGATTTTACTCATGGAACTGTAGTAAACAGGTTCAACAGCATCTTGAAAAAAGAACATAAATCTTCATGGAGCTAATTTATTCCGTTCTCACTTGTATATCGCAGTGTGCTGAGTGGCTGGCTTCCCTACTTACAAACAAAAGCATGGGAATATGATTTAAGTCTCCATGTTTATCAGCAGCCCAAGTTTTTAAATTGAAACTTTCACTTCAATCATTGAATTGTGTGCATTTCCTTACACCACAGCTTTTTCCATTCTCACATGCTGGGTTATTACCTTTTCTGCCTGGCCTCACACCAGAAATGCCAAAATACATCAGCACTGCTTAAATAGTTTCCCTGAACAATGAGCAGCTGCCCAGATTCCACTACAGTAAATCGGTGCAAGGCTTAGTACTCAGATTGCTCTCCATCGTCTACTGCTCAGTGTTTAGTTTCCTTAAATTCTGGACGTCCTTCTGTTCTTGAGTAGCTCAAGTTTAATCAGACTTCGGTGTCTCATTATGACAATGGGTGATGGGAGCTGAGGCATTTTAGGATATAAGAAAAAGTATTCCCATGGCAGGCCGCGTGGTCTGTCTGCCTCATTTGGTTGCTAGTAGCTAATTGATCCAAGGATCCTTGAAACAACATACCTAATATCTTGTTCTAGAGTCCCTCCAACTTCTGTGTCAAATCATGCCTCCTTCTTCACAGTTTTAAACGTTCTTCCTTGTAGTTTTCACATGTGTCCTATAATTTGAGTTTCACTGTTGGTTTGGGAAAAGGTCATTGGGTTGACTTTTTGAATTCCAATCAGGGGCCTGAAAGGACACCACTGGAGTAGCAATAGCCCTGGAACAGATCTACAGTGGTCAAATGATAAGAAAAGTAGAGAGGATCATTTTTTTAATGTGCTGCTGTAATATAGTAATAATGTTGATATATGCAGGATTTTTTGTTCTGCTTTTTCAATGCTCTTTATTTATCTGGATGTATCTGGACAAAAATGGATTCAGTCGCTTGTTAGGAAAATAAATAAAATAATCAGTAATTCTTACGTAATAGATGTGAATGTGAAACCAGAATGACTGTGTCAAAGTTTTCAAAGCATACCTAGTGGATAAAAAAATGCATGACCTTCATCTCTTTTTAGAATAAGTGAAATGTTGACCCTACCACAGGGACACATAAATTTGAAATGTTCCACTGCACTGCTTTGCAATTTGTTAGCACAGACACACAGAGTGCACATTTTCACCATTTTCAGGAGCCATTACATTTTTTGTCCAGATATCTGCCGCCTTTTCCATATTAAAACCAAGCTGTGATCACACAGTGTTTCCATTGTATTTCTCCTAATACAGAACATGTTCTCTCACTCATTCCTCACACCTCTTGCCTCCATAGCACAGGATTGCAATTTCCAGTGTAAGGTGCACACAGTCAGATAGACATGCTTTCCCAAGTCACCTAATAGCATGAAATAGGGTGCATAAGCTCTGTTGCATGTTATTACAGCTGTGACTTATTACAGTCCGGATATCTAGATATGCTCACTTTAAAATGTCATAGAGCTTTTGACTTTCAAATGATTCTGCCGTAAAGAAGGATTTAATGACCTTCACTCGTTTCTGAATCTATTTCTGTATCTCAGGCTGAGAGTTAAGGGGAGAAAAGATTTGACAGCGAGGATACAGCAGCTGCCTTTTCTAATGATTTGCTTGCTTTGGAGACACAAACAGAGCAAACAGAGGAGAGACAGGGATGTTAGGACAACATCCAAGTCCTCCAGGCTGCATCTACAGAAAGATTACAGAGTTTTGTCATTAAGCTGCATCCTCCTACAGAGAGTAAGACAACCTGGCCCAACCTGCGCCTGCGATTGAACACATTCTTTTGGTTAAGCAGAGTCTGTTGTCTCTGTTTTTTAAGAACATTAAGAAAAAAACATTTAGATCATATCTATAAAGCCTGTGTTTTTAATGCAGCAAATAGATTGAAGTGATTCATTGAAAGAAATACATGCCTCGATGTTAAATAGTTCATTGATCTAAGGTTGATTTTGCTTTTGTTAGTCATCCTTACATCCATTTGTGGACAAGAGCAGAGCAGAGAGTTGTGCTCAGTGCAAAGCACAGAGAAGTGCAGTGCAGAATCAGACATCAGAAATGTCCACACAGCAACACTTGGCTTAGAAAATAAACAAAGGACTCTTTTTAAAGCTGAAGTGGGCAAAGTGGTTTAGAGTGAGTTGCTAAGTGGATGGATGTTTTCAAAACCCCCAAGCAGCTGAGACAAATTGAGAGGAGACAACAGAAAAGAGGAGGTGGCAAGACACTGCCAGAAATGTGCAGTTTGGTTAGCTTTGACCCCCCTTCTGCTCAAGGGGAATGACTTAATGCTGAATTTATTTAATAAAGTCTGAAGGCTTATTACAGTGAGCTTCTAACATAAATCTCACTGGCCTCAGGATGAGGCTATCAGAGCTTGAAATGGAGAAGCATTTTATTAACCCTTTATTGTTTTGTGACACCAGGTAGTCCCAAGCCCTGGGACTCAGCTGAAAAGCAGAATGTTCACCTTAAAAATAAAGGCTCATGTGAGATTTGTGGTGAATGTGCAGTTCATACTAAATGAAATCAAAATGTCTTCTAGTGCAAACATTCACATCCAAAAAACAAATCTGTGTTTGTGCACAGATATTTAAAAAATTAAAGAAAATCCACAGAAGCAGAAAATATTATAGTAGCTTCCTACGTAAAATGCCAGCAGTTTGAGATATTTCTCCAAAATTAATAATTCCATTTAATGACAAACAGGTCTGGTTAATATTAGCCTGGAGGGAGCTTAATTTAGGGTAATATGATCTTTTAGGATATTGAGGAAATGTAAATGATTGGATTTTCTGAAAATGACTCCTACTGTCTGAACCATCATTCAACTTCTGGCCTGTGCGCCAACTCAGCATCTCTGCCCAGGGAAACACAGCTCTGAATGCACTTGGATGTTGAAATTGATGAGAAGAAAATTTAAAATGACCTAGAAGAGTGACGGTCTCTCTAACCCAGTTAGCAAACATGCACATTTGAGCAGCTATTCTGCAGAATGAAAATAAGATTCTTTAAAAATCAATGTGGGCTGTGCTCTTTCCTTGAAGGCTGTTTCTCAACAAGCCTCGGCCTCAAAAGCACAAGGCGGCATTTCTTTTCTGCGTTCCTTTTTGATTACATTTCGTCTAGCGAGCTGAGATACATTACAAGTTTTGTAAATTATTCTCTCAAAAACGGCCTTTCTCTTCCATAAATAAATATGGGACCTAAATGGGTATTTTATTACAGCCGCAAAAGGCCCCAACAGTGCATATGAAACGAGAGAGGCTGCGACCTTTTCTGCAATTATGAAACTCCCTTGCACTTGGACAAATAATCAGACTACATTTATGGTCCTATAAAATGCAAATGGAATGAGGAGATGGACGTGTGAAGCTGTAATCCCCTTTCCATGAGTGCAGCTGGACTCTGCATCAGCTCACTTTTATGAGGGACTTGAAAAGATGTCAGATCCTTCCCTCCACCCTTTAGCCCTCACTAGTGCAGAGATTTCAGCTCAAGACCTGCTGCAGACAGTTCTGGGCTCTTGAGAGGCCAGTGAGGAGGCTTTTTTCAAACAGATTTCAGCCTTAGGTATCACTTTGTATCTTATTCATTTTAAATCTTTAATCTCCATGTATTAATATACATATGTATATGTAATAAAATATTTTAATAATAATAAAGTAATATGATAGAGGCTGGCTTATTTCTCTAATCTTAGGAAGTGTTGTCAGACAATGTAATTAGTGTGAACTTCCTGGAAAACCAAGCACACAAAAGGAGAACACCTAATGGTAACAGAGGAATAGTCCTTTCAAGATTCAAATTTTAGATAATAGCATGCTATCAAGCTGAAAATTAAAGTCTTCTGAAAGGTTTGGTTTAAACACGAGACTACACTATGTCATGTCTTGTTTAATAAAATCGCTTGAGTACTTTTCTGTCTGGACTGCATAGGTAAACTATGCATGTATTTGTTTGAGACAGTACAGCAAACATGTCATAAGCAATGAACATTGTTTTTCCGGTTTGCATGTTGAAATGCCACTTTCCCTCGGTTGAATTCTTCACCTATAGGGCGAGAGCAGTCCCAGAGACAGATAGCAGTAGAGATGGTGCCAGTGTGCGCGCCTCCCAGTCAGGCAGCAAGTGAACCTCAGAGCCATGTGGTTGACATTACGCACTCCTGTACAAATCACTTCTTTATTAACTCACTGATGTTTTACAAAGATGATCTGCACATATTTATTTCAGGAGGCCCCACAAGATGCTTCTTCATCTCAGTCTCATCAAATGAAGCCAACAGTATATAACAAAAAGCCTACCTGTCCTGCAAGTGTTCTTGCGATTACTCCTGCTAGCAGACATGACACAGGCAGAAGAGTTAAAGAAAAGAGTCAAAGACTATTTTTAAAGTCCAGTGCAGGAACAATAATTCAGTTGCTTCAAAACAGGATGTTTTGACATTTCTGGCTTTAGGACTGGATTGTTGGATTAAAGGATTCAGTTTAGCTTAGACATCAGAACCACAGTCTTTCTGGTTGACTGTATTAAAATAGAAGGATTATTAAAATGTTTGCCTCTCTTAATTCTCATATTTTGTCTTTTATATCAGTAGGGGTTATGGATAAAAAGATAGAAAGAAAGATAGAGGGTGCATATAATTACTGTATGTGCACCATCTCACAAAGGTATACATCAGATGCCTTACACTAACAGAGAATTCATAAAGGGACACAATGTGGCCATAAAAACCGAATGCTAAAATACAACTCCATCGTCAAACAAGGGCAAGGGTCGAAACAAGTAAACAGAATATATCCATCTGCATTCATTTAATAAAACAGAGAAAAGGAAACAGTACTCCTCAGCAATAAAATCGACATCAAGTGAAACTAAAACATTTCAAAGAACAACATATTTTTCCTGTGGTCTAATAAATCTAAGCTATAGGCTCGTCAGATGTCTTTTACAGTTTTACAGCTGTAAAAGTGTAAAAAAAGGTAGAAGGAGAAGAAGGGGAGTGGAGGGCGGGGGAAGTATCATGTCCTGATTTGAATTATAGTAGCAGATTGAAACCATCTGATCTCCTCAAGCAGAGACATCTGAGTAATAGCAGGTTTGTGCTAATTTGTCTTGAAGGGCCAGGGAAGAGCCAGACCTGCACCCCCACGCAATCTCTCTCCTGCAGCTGCAGGCTGGCAGTGGTGCTCTGGTGTGTCCGTGAGCTCCTCATCTTGGGAAAGCAGCATGGGTTGTAGATGCTGATAAAGAAGAATATTTCTTAGTCCGTCTCTTTCACTCCCTTTCTCTGTCACTGCAGCTCCCTCTCCGGTCACTGTCATCAGGAAGGACAGGACATCCCGAAACAGCATCTCTCTGTCCTGGCTGGAGCCTGAGCGACCCAATGGCATCATTCTAGACTACGAGGTCAAGTACTACGAGAAGGTGGGGATGCGTTGGTATCTTCTCCTGCATTTTCAGACTGGTTCTGGGATCCTTTACTTTGTATGTTTTCACAAACAGTACAAAATAAGGCTGTTTTCTTTCCCCTGTGCTTTTAACAAAATGTAAGGTATCATCTTTATCTTACATGCTACAAAACTAAAATTCAGCCACCCAAAGTGAGCCCTCTCTGTGATATTCGATTTGCTGAAGTAAACGTATTTGATTGTTACTGCAGAGTTTGGAGATGGATTGATCATTAAATCCACAGTGTGATGCCTTACTGAATTCTTACTGGTACAACCCTCAATTTTTAACAATATGACATTGATTTATTACAACTTAATACTTATGGCTGGAGTTCTGTCCCTGGATGAGAATACGAGAAAAAGATAATAATGCAAAAAAACATGAAGGACACATGATACCTTTTCATTTCCTAGAAACCTGACAGTGTTAGTCTCCTTCTCAGTTGGACACTGTGTGATAGCACTCACAGTGTGATTCAATCACTGATTTTCTCTCACCTTCTATTGCTACCTATATACTGTGTGTCAGCCACCTTCTGTCTAAGACCTTTGCACCACAGTGTAGATGTCTTGTTCAAATTGCACATAATGAGCAGAAATTCTAATCTATCAGAGAATGACTGATTTGATGCTGTACGATTTTCATATGGGTTACAGGCCTGCAGTACACATGTTTGTTTTTCTAAAATGCTCTCTGGATAATATCAAGACTTATTTTTCCCTTCACTTTGTTGAACTCCAGAACCTGCCTAATAATGATTCTGTGTTAATCCGCCCTCTGTTCAAGTTCGGATCCTTACATGGCAAATACACTACAGATGGTAGTTGATTGGAATGGAGTTTGCTGTGCTTTCCAGTTATCAATGTGCTTTTGTTTCTCCCAGCTCCCCTGGAGTTTGAGAGCTACCGTTCAGCACACTTTCCTGCACAGCTGTAGCTATCAGAGCCCTGGAAATGCTGGAGCTTTGTTCTTTCATGCTGTCAATGCATGTGATTTTGTGTTCCCGAACATGCGGTCGTTAATGTCTCCCTGAGGTAGGGATGTGGTAGAGTGAGCTGGGAGGGCACGCAGCAGGTGACAGACATTTTAGGGCTCTCCTCCTGGAAACTGGCAGGGGATCTGAAGGGGGTGAAAGAAAGCTTTCTTGGAAGCTCCCATGGCAAACGGCCAGAATTCTCTCAGTGAAGAGATACCATGCTGCAGTGGAGCACATTGCTGAACCACATGGACTCCAAAGGAACGCCCACACACAAACACAAAATTAGTTTCGGACTCCTTGCTGCTAACTACATTATGATCTATGATGAAAGTAACACTTCCATGCCATTGATCTGAACTGGATAATGGGTTTTCCAAGTTCTATTATTTGTGCCTTTTAAAAAGGGCACCACCACACACAGTAATTAATTGACCACATGCCCAATCTGTTGAAGGTGAATGTCATTACCCTGCTATTTTTGTGAGTGTCTGACCGTTCTGTCATACTGTTCCATCAGAAGAATAAATACAAGAAAGGTTTGCCACAAACCACAAAACAAAGTGTTTTTGTTCTTGATAGATGGTCACTTTGGACTCCAGAGGTTAAAGGAAGCTCAGATTACACCATGATCATTTACCAGTATGTCTTGGGATATTCTCCAGACAAGGGCAAAAGGGCTGTTTAAATGGATTGAGGGTTAGTACTAAAACCATAAATGTGTCTATGAGAACTCAATTTGAAAATTGTTTAAGAGCAAATTACGACACTAATGCGAGCTCTGAGATGAACTCCCCACTGACATTTGATACTGAAATTAGCCTACAAGGAATTTTTAATCACTGTTAGGGAGATAGCTCTTTTGTGTATTGCTAAATCTGTTTGTCAGTTTTTATGAGCTTGTAAAGGAAGGACATAAAGTCATATTGCCTTGGCTACATCTTTGCATAGATTGCCTAGTGGATTCAACTCTATATTAAGAGAGAATGGATCACTTGGGAAATATATTGAGCCATGCCAATATTGGACATAAGAAGGGAAAATAACATTGGTACTCACACACACACGAAACACTACACCATCATTTCAATGAGATCACACAGTCTTGACTTGCTGTAATCTGTTGGCCCAAATTAATTTTGGTGCAGTCTTTTGATCCCTGTGCACTTTGCAAATGACCGGCCAAAAATGTTTAACCCCTGTCAAGGGAGAGTTTTTCTTCAGAATGATCAGTCAAGCTCCAAATGCCACTGTGTAGAAATGCCATAGATCAGCGAGAACCCTTTTAAGCTCTGGCCAATGTCCATGGCCCAGAGAAACTGCTGCTGTTGCTTCCAGTATATTGCAGGCAGAATGTATTCAATGTGACAGAAGATCACTTAAGATTTGCATATCCTGGTGGCACGAGTGCAGTAATGTGTCTTTGCTTCATGGTGAAACTGAGTCACACCACCGATTCTTATTAATTACTCTGCATGCCGTGATGGGTCTGCTTAGGGGCTGACTAAAGCTGAAAACACTCCAGGAGTCAAAATGATGAGTACAAATGATGCCATGTTATTACTTAAAGGTACTGATTTATTATGACTGGCAACAAAAGACAACAGGGTCCCTCCCGCCTCATGCAGAGAAGAAGAGGACCCTTTGTCTTATTGAGAAAGATTCTAGACTGACCACAGCACCACTCGCAGACTACCGATCCCAGCACAGACAAAGAAGTGTATCGAGTGAAAAAAAAAACAGGGAGTAGCAGAGTCTGATCCTAGATTAAAATCTGTGCTCCGTCTCATCTCAGTGGTTCATGCTTGTAAATTGTAAAGAATGAACAAGAGAGGAGACGGACCCTGAAGTGCTGCTGCAGTAGGTAATTCTGACATGATGCACACTGCGTTCCTGGAGCAGGACTTTCATTCCAGAACCAAATATCCATCTTAGCAGAAGCACTGGTGTTAATGTGAATGTTAATAATCACATTCAATGAGTAGTGTTACTTATTTATTTTACTCTCGGAGTGAAAAGTGCCATAGTAGGCAATGCAATAATTTATGATGGCATTTGTCAGCGAAAAAGTACAGTTCAGCTTTTGAGATTCTATATCTTCCTGCTACCAACTTTATTTTTTTTGCAAAACCCTTGCCAAACTATTCGCCATTTAATTAATGGATTCATTTCCCAAACATTTTTCTGCATTTTTAATAATGGCTGTGCGTGCACAAGTTGTCCACAGTAATAAAATAATTATGTGAAGAAACAGGGTTTTGATTTTCATTCATTGCCTCTCACACTTGAATCAACAATTGCCTGTCCAAATTGCCACTTATTTTTTTCACATATTCCTTCCTCTGGGATCAAGTGAATTCATTGTTTCAGCTTGTAATATTTACTCTGTCAAAATGAAGCTTGACATGCATGTTAAACAGTCTATAGCCAATGTACATTGGGCAAAAATTTCAACAGATGCATGCCTTTTCAAAAGCTTTTATAGAGTACTTCCCACTTATACAGTAAGGTTTCGGTTATTTAATGAAGGTGGGATGGGAAAACCAACAGGTGTGAGTGTCACCAGGACCAGGATTGGGAACCACTGCTGTAGAGTGTAGACTAACTCCACACTGAGGACCGACAAAGTAGTCTTCTGTTTTTTTATTTTAAACATTTAATTACTTAATTGGCTCTGCTCCTCTTTGCATAAATTGGTGTACCACAAGTTGCAAATATGTAATTTTTCTTTCAGGCATTAAGTGGTTTGATAATTTAGAGACCTTTCTCTTGTAGACATAGTTTGGAAAATGAAATTATGAGAGCTTGATGCATTGAGCTAGACAACAATAATTTGATCTTCTTGGGTTATTAAAGCAGGCACTTTGCCACTTGCTTGTTCTTGTTACTGTATGTCCTGTTAAGGCTCCTGTTATATCTGTCCTGTGTGATTCCTCTCAGAGTTTTAGCTCCAAGTGTTCTTTGCCTTACAGCTAAGTAGGAGACTGTAAACAGACCTGGAGGAAGCACATTTAACACCAGGAGAAGTGCTTCACCAGTGGCGTTCCCATGCATTCTTCTTAACAAAATTAATGTCATATGTGTTTTATTTTCAGCAGAATTTTTGGATTTAAAATAAAGAACATTTGGCATTGCTTTGAAAGGGGTCCCATACATTGTTTTAAGGAACAAAACTTTGACCTATCAAAATATTCAATATAATAAACGTAATATTCAAAATGATTTTGAACTAAATTTTATGAATGAATGGTGAGATAAAATGTGTTGATTGTAAGGAAATATATTTGGGGCATTTTGCATCTTTCACTTAGCACATACTGTGAGAATTATAAACATTTTGGTACTTAACACTCCTTAGTTTTCACAGATTTCATGAGTCTTCTTGTGATGAAGGGGAAACATTAAAATAAATATTTACTCCATCGTGTGGTCAGGGGCAATTGTACATCCTTTTGGGCTGATTAATCAAACTGCCATTACTAATAGATTTCCCTTTCAGGTTCTGTAAGGGAAATCTGTGATACAAATCTGTTTGTTTCTTGGTTATAATGGGTGTCAATATGAGTGTGGTAGATAAGACAAATGAACATCTAACAATAGCTCCTTGTTTTTCTTCATACCAATATGACTCCCTCTCTTAGGCTCGTTTTTCCCTTCTTCCCCCTTTTTTCATCTGCACATCTGGAAACAATGGCTCGAACGCAAAGCTGGACTATAAATCCTCTGTCAGTTTGCTGGTAGAAAGGATCAGTGTACTACGGAGATCTTTAGAGAAGCCATAAAAAATAAAGGTGGCAATTTATCAAGGGGAGCTCGCATGGTTTCCAGCACTCTGGGGCGGACCTGATTATATACACACATTTTTTGCAGAGGCGTCTGACCCCACATGAGCCACATTTGGCCGGGACCCGAGTAAGCTTTCAGCAGACAGCAGGCCTAGAATCTGATCCCCCTTCTATTGGATTTTAATGTGTTTTTCTTGGTCTTTTTTATTCCCCCCTCCTCCTTTTTTTATGAAGCAGGAGCAAGAGACAAGCTACACCATCCTGAGATCCAAAGGCACCAATGTGACGCTCAACGGGCTGAAACCCGACACCACCTACCTGCTGCAGATCCGAGCCCGGACGGCCGCCGGATACGGGACCAGCAGCCGCAAGTTCGAGTTCGAGACCAGCCCTGACTGTAAGCATCTCTTTCAGATCTGTCTGGTGTTTCTTCCACTCAGTCTCAGCCCAGCAGAGTCCTCTCCCATTCCTCACGGTCCTGCTTACGCAGAACGACAGTTCCCGCCTCCCAGCCAAGTACCCCTCCATAGAGGATCAGAGGAATGGCTGGTTTGTCTGGTGTTTTCTCAGGAAAGATTGTACTAGCCAGAGAAAAAAAATGTTATCTAACCATTTTATCCAATATGGGGCTGTAGGCGAGTATATCCCAGTAAGCACTGGGCACAAGGTGTGGTACACCACTCCATCACAGGACACACACAGAGACAGACACACTTACACCAGGGGTAATCTTCCCAGAAGGAAGGTTAACCTACAAGTATGTCTTTGTAGTGTGGAGGGAAACTGGAGCATCCAGAGGAAACCCACACAAACGTAGGGAAAGCATGCGAACTACAGTATATACAGAGAGCACCCCAGGATTTTAACCCAGGGCCCCTTGTGTTTCAAGGCAGCAATACTAACCACCACACTGTATTGCCCATTGAGCACTTCATGTTTGGGTTTAATTCTTGCGATCTTAGTTAGACAATTAAATATGCACTGTGAAATAGCAAATCATTTTCTATTAAAAATTATAAAGACATATATATATATAAAAATCAAACAGACTTTTATGCTGAAAGAAGTAAAAGGCTTACTTCAGGGCTTGTAAATCACACTTTCAGCACATCACAAAAAGTAATATAAGTATTAATATATCTAAAAATAATAGTCCAATTATTGATTAACAAAATTAATCACCTGTAGAGGTTAGTTCCTAACAAGTTACTATATTAAAATTTGGTTTATGCTATACTATATAACCATTGATAAAGAACTTTTAAATGGAATTCACTGTCTCTTATCCAATGAGTCACCATAAAAAAACATACAGATTTATCAATTCAATATGTATATAGACTTCAATTTTTATCTAGGTTATTACAGTTTTTACGGATTGACTATATATAAAAAATCAACATACTCCAACAGTTGTTTGTTATGTCCAAAACTGCTATGTGTAATACCTACATTTCCTGTGTGTAATACCTACAAGTTTTGAAGTGAAATACAGTGTGTATTTTTAATAGACAACTATTTTGTTGTTAGTTATTTTTTTAGCAGCATACTGTATATGTCTTCCAAGAGCAGGCGTGAATAATCTGTGTAGATCCTGATTATCATTTCCTAAATTGTACTAATATCAGTACTTTCTAAATTATTTATATTTGTAAGCCCTAAGAAAACCTTTCAGTGTCATGAACGCCTACATGTTCCTTTCCATTTCAGAAACTGACACAGCTCCTCACTCTATACTACAGTATATCTTACAGTATACTGTATATCCTGTGTATGCTCTCCCTGCTCCTTCTGGAATTTGAACCTGGTTGCTCTTGGGCTCAGAGCACACATGAGACCATTCCATAAACAGTGGAGAACTCCTCCACACCCCAAGACCAGATTCTGTGCTGCCGCAGAACTCTATCCTGTCTGGATTTCAGAGGAGGGTGACATCACTCCTGTCTCTGACTCAGTACACTGAGCTCCTTTGCTTATAAGTGTATGTGTGGGAAAATATTCAGCCCTGCTAACAGAAATGGACACAAATAATCAGGTAGCCAGAACTTTCAGAAAACACAGCAGGGTTTTGCACTGTGCGGCAGAATGTTTTCATTACTTGTTTAGATATGAAGTGGCAGAAAGAAATAAGAATCACCTTATGTGGGGATTTATTAGAATACCTCCTTTGAAAAATATGGAAAATCAAATCACGTTGGTTAACTTCTTTCCAGCTGATCTCCCAGCACTTTTCTGTAGTTCAGCAGAGTCTGTGAATAATATCAACCTCAGCTTGGCTCGCTCCCAGCTTGGTCAGACGAGTTTAATGACATTCAGTAGCTCCCACTACTGGATGAAGTATGTGCCTCCTTCAGTACACTGCAGTTCATTATTTCCTGAACCTCTGATAAATAGCTCTGAGTTGTTCCCGTCTGAGGCACAGGGGTGTATTCAGAATCATTAATTTCAGAATTATGAAAGTCTCTATATGCATTTGTACTGAGCTGGCACACACTTAAATACATGTCAGGATTTATATACAAGGGTGCATCAGTGAGTGCAGTGAATTTGTAAACTACCAAGTACGCTTCAAAGTTAATAAAGAGTGTTGTATTTAAAACACAGTCCCCTTGAACATCCACAGTTTCTGCCTCTACTTCAGAAGCTTATGCATGTCCTTCTTCCAATAAAATGATGCTGGTTGGTCCCTGGGCATTTCCTCTGCTGCCCCACTACACCTAGAGGGTATAGGACATCATTCTGGACCATCACACACTGTGTCCATTCACAGCAAGAGCTACAAATATTAGCTCTAACTAAGGAGCCATCTATCCAGTAGCCATATCAACCTGCAACTCACAACTGGCAACCCACTGAAGCTAAGCAGGTGTGAACCTGGTCAGTACCTGGATGGAGACCTCCTGGGAAAAACTAAGGTTGATGCTGGAAGAGGTGTCAGTGGGGCCAGCAGGGGGTGACGGGGACACTATATGGTAAAAAGGTGCTGTCCTTCAGATAACATGTAAAGCTGAGGTCCTGACTCTCGGTGGTCTTTAAAAATCCCA